CAACAACTTTACTCATAACACCTTTATAATAGAAATATGCCGACCTAATCATATCAGAAGTGAGAAAACGAAGAGGTTCAAAGATGGATTTGAAAGTCTACCAGTATATCGAAAAGCGTATAATCTAAGCCGGCTGACGGTTGTAAGAGATTCGTAGCATGGTATGCTCATTTGTCACCTGGTGCAGATGCGTGAATGAACGTTTTCAGCTAGATATACCCACTAAAATTAATAAAATCAGCATCAAATGTCGAAGACTTACAAAAACCATTTATTTTGGGGATTTATTTACTACTGCAGACACATTAAAAGACACCTAAAGTCTGATTAACAACGTCTTCGATGATACAAAATTCACAATGGAAAGCAGTCGAACTGAAAACTGTTGTTCATATATGCACTGACCATCAGAGCCGAAACAGGAAAGCTGATGTGTCAGTTATATCAGATGTCAACCTATACAGATAAAATTTTCAAACACAGTAGCAACAACCTAAGAACTCACAAAACCAACCGTGTACAAACTTTCTATAAACGGGCGAGAACACACTGCAGTACACTTGCAGTACGGAAACATGAATAAAAATATCTAATGACTATCTTTCAAAAGAACGGCTATCCACGCAATTTCGGCATGAAATAGTATTATAACTCACCAGCAAAAACGAGATAAAATATAAAATTCAACTAACGCGTCTTTCTATAATATATACAGAAGACATACCTGATTACATGACCGGAATAATGTTTAAATTAAATTTATTATAGAGTTGAGATCATGAGTCAATTGAAGCTAGACTACCATGGAAAACCTGGAAGCACTGGACGGCCGTTTCGTCCTATTAGGGGACTCCTCAGCAGTGCGCGTCCACGAACCCACTCTCGCGGGATTCGAACCCAGGACCTACCAGTTTCGAGCCGAAGCCCTTAACCGATAGACCACTGAGCTGGCATCCAACGGTGTTAATTTCTAACTTCAAAATACTAAAATCTCCACAAAACCCCTTCTGATAAATTTATTATGTTTAGGAAGATCAACTCGAAGAAAACATTGAAAATCTTACAAGCATTTCTTGCAATCATAATCTAATAATTCATAATTCCCTCAAATCGGTCAAATGTCTAAATAATTTGGTTATATGTAAATATGAGTGTGTATAGTTGATGATTCGGACTACGTTTCTACCTTTCTGTCTCAATGATTAATTGAAAAATGTTAAAATTCATTCAGTATTGTTTGTTTGAATCTTCCCATCGATTTGTTAGGACTGCAACTAGTCAGTCTCTAATTGGCATATGTGCATACTGTGCGTATTGCCTCGATATACCTTAATTCACAAGCATGGTAAGCAGAGATATATAGTGGCTAGCAGTAGAATCCAGGACGCGCGTTTCGTCCTATTTGGGACTCGTCAGCTGGATGTACCTGCATCTCAGAGTTGATGTTCACTTTGGGACTCGAACCCAGTACCGTACGCTTCAAACGCCATCGCGTTATCCACTCGGCCACTGAGTCCTGATAGCCACTTGCTTGTGCGATGGGGTGAAGTTTAAATTCAACTTAGTATTGTTTGTTTGAATCTTCCCATCGATGTGTTTAGGACTGCAACTGGTCAGTCTCTAATTGGTATATGTGCATACTGTGCGCATTGCTTCGATATAGCCTTAATTCACAAGCATGGTAAGCAGAGATGGATAGTGAATTAAAAATGTTTATTAATGAAATGTGAATAGTTCACATTTATTTCTCTTTCGATGTATATGTGTATATATAAGTTTGACCTTTCATAGTTCAAGTTGTCTGATTCATTTATTATGATGTTCAGTTGGTCAGAAATGATTTGTTTCTAATTTCTATCAGTTATTTTGCTTCAAAACTAGGTTAAGCTTGTGAATCAATAAAAATCCAGATAATACTAAGCAAGTATTTTATTCAAGTTCTTGAAGTACCATCAATGGGCACAAGTAGAAACATAGAATTCTTATTTATTTACTTATGCCTGTTACTCCCAATGGAGCATAGGCCACCGACCAGCATTCTCCAAAACTACTCTGTCCCACCACTTCCTTTCTAGTTCTATCCAATTTTTGTTCATACTTCTCATGTCTGTCTCCATTTCTCGGCGTAATGTGTTCCTTGGTCTTCCTCTTCTCCTTTGGCCTTCACGATTCCATGTTAGAACTTGTCTTGTGACGCAGTTGGTTGATTTCCTCAATGTGTGTCCCATTCACGTCCAGTGCTTGTTCCTCATTTCTTCGTCCACTGAAATCTGGTTTGTTCTCTCCCCCAGTAGAATGTTTCTGATGGTGTCTGGCCAACGGATCCGAAGTATTTTGCGTAGATGTCTGTTAATAAACACTTGTATCTTCTGGTCGATGGTTTTCGTAGTTCTCCAAGTTTCGGCCTCCAACAGTAGAACAGTCTTGACATTTGTATTGAATATTCTGATCTGTGTGTTGGTTGACAGACAGTTGTTTTGAGTTCCAGATGTTATTCAGTTGTAAACATACTGCTCTCGCTTTGTCGATCCTCGCCCTCACATCTGCATCTGATCCACCGTGTTCATCATTGATGCTGACCAAATATGTAAAGGTTTTCACACCCTTCAAAGTTTCTCCATCAAGTTTGATTTGATTGGTGACTGCTATGTTGTATCGGAGAATCTTGCTTTTCCCTTTGTATGTGTTGAGACCTACTGCTGCTGAGGCTGCTGCTACACTGGTCGTCTCCTCCTGCACTTGTTGTTGCGTGTGTGATAGAAGAGCCAGATCGTCTGCAATGTCTAAATCGTCCAGCTGCATCCTTGCTGTCCACTGTATACCGTAATTCCCTCCAGATGTTGACGTCTTTATGATTCAGTCGATCACCAGGAGAAAGAAAAAAGGGTGAGAGTAAGCAACCTTGCATGACATCGGTTTATACCTCGAATGAGTCTCTTGAGGTGGGATCGTGGATGCACACTGCTGAGGATTCCTACAAAGGGACAAAATGGCTATCCAGTGCTGTGAGTTTTTCCCTGGTTGTCTAGCTTCAATTGACTAATGATTTCAACAATAAAAGTTAAATGTTATAATAACGAATTAATAAAAAGTCCAAAGGTTATAAACTATTTGAATTGTTAAACATTTTTAGGAGTTATTTTATTCATTTGATCATCGGTCAATTAAATCATCACATTTTGGATAGATTTCTTTTTTTAATGTCTTAATAAATTATAATAATTTGTAATTTACTTGTTTTTCGTTATTTAACACTACTTTGAAATACTGAATTATCTTTAAATAATGTTTGTTGTTTTTGATTGATCACACATTAATATTTGTGTTGTACTATTAAAAACTTGGATTAATGTTAATTTTCACAGTTGAAATCATGAGTCAATTGAAGCTAGACCACCATCGAAAACCTGGAAACACAGGACGGCCGTTTCGTCCTATTATGGGACTCCTCAGCATTGCGCATCCACGATCCCGCACCCGCGAGATTCGAACCCAGGACCTACCAGTCTCAAGCCGAAACAGTGGCCAGTGGAGTTCTACCAGGTCTGTTGTAGATATATCATCTCACTGAAGACAACTGGTGAACGGTCGCTCAAAATCGTGGATTGGTTGAAGTTAGACATTAACACTGTTGGATGCCGGCTCAGTGTCTATCGGTTAAGGGCTTCGGCTCGAGACTGGTAGTTCCTGGGTTCGAATCTCGCGAGAGCGGGTTTGTGGATGCGCAATGCTGAGGAGTCCCATAATGAGACGAAACGGCCGTCCAGTGCTTCCAGGTTTTCGATGGTGGTCTAGCTTCAATTGACTCATGATTTCAACTGTGAAAATACTAAATTCTCTACAAAACCCCCTCTGATATATAATGTTAATTTGGTTATTTATTCTCTGAAGAAGTGGTCTACACTGAGTCATGAAACATCAGAAAATCTAATTTTTCTACTCATTGGGATATTACAACTATATTAATTTATTTATAACAATCTACCCAATGCTCAATTTTTTCAAAATTATCATGTCAAAACTTGGTAATGATACCTAAAATGTTTGTTGTTTGTTCACTTTCATTCATAAACATTATTATGAACACAAAAGAAATTAATAGACATTTCGTGACCTAATGTAAACCATTTCTTCAAAATAAATAAATAACTGATATAAAACTAACACAAGTTTAAATAATAGAAAGGAAACAGCACTCACTATACACTATAGCAACCCTCCTACAATCAATTTTGGTTATAAACAATTTTGGTTAAGCTCTTTGATTAATTTACCTAATAGACAATGTTATTTAAACAGTAACAATTCATTTATTTCATTGTATTTATTATGACCACTATTATCTCTGAATGAACGTATACTCTTGATCAGATAACAGTCTACGCACATATCTTTCTATAGCTTGAATGTTAATCGCTTAAATATCATTCAGTGAATCATTCTCTTCCCCGTGTATATATGTACTCAAATCCTATTATAATCATTTGCTTTGTCTAATTTCACCTTATTCAGTTTGACTACAAATTTGCCTCTGTATTTACTCGCACACATATATTCGTCTCTTTGCTTCAAATTCTCTTGATGTGTTTATAACTTTGTGATCTGAGCTATCCGCTAATAAACTGTACATGATGCTTCTGCATTACCTTCTGATTTCAAACACTATTAAGATTTATATAATAACAGTTATCAAGGTGATTGGTGAACGAAGTGCAAAGTCACTATAACTCTTGCAATTTATTAAATTCAATAAAAAATATCATAAATTTTTAACTTTGAGTGTAGTGTTTTTATATATTCAAGGTTTCATCATTAAATGAACATACACGTTCTTAGAATTAGTTGTAATCACAATTAATAAATTTATCATAGGGAAAAATATTTAATCTTATCCAATCAAAATACGACTAAGACTCTATTTTAATTGGTTCTTTCTAATAACCAATCATCTGTTGATAAATTATATTTTTTGTTTTTTCTATCTTTAAAATTTCCAAAATACTTTTATTTACATAATTTTGATAAAACTATCATAAAAATGTTTTCTATGAGATAAAAACTTGATATCGTTCAAAAAAGAAAACTAATTTAACTGGATCATTTTTATGTTCCATTTCATAAAATATGATCAAAATTATAGAATACCTCAACAAATATTTGGACTATTTCATATAAAACTTGATCAATTCAACAATAAATGAATTAAGAATTCAAACATTATGAGTACAAGATTTAGTTCACCAGTTTTTATGGACACATGTAATCATTATAATCGTAAAAATCGAAAATTTCGAAAGAATATCTTTGAAGTTAGAGTTGATGAACCAATTGATGTAGAGATGAAAAGTCATCCAATTTACAATATTGATCCTGGTGGATGTAGTAGTAAAGTTGATAAGAACATAACGAATGACTCATATAATAAACCATGGGAGTCTAGTAATACAGATACAGGTCATTATCCATATCATTGTGACACAGATCTGGAAGTATGCAGTCAGTCGAACTATATTGATGTATATAACAATAATAATAATAGTTGTGATTACAAAAAAATGCCACATAATAATTCAATGGAATTAAGACATTTTCTTGCTCCCCCACCTCAGGAATGTACACAAAGAAGAACCTCACTTCATGGTAAAACAATAACAATACGTATCAGTCGTAATGAGACCAGATATCGCAAGTTGCAGGCTAAAATTTATAATTTTCTTGAAAGACCAAAAACATGGCCTTCTGTAATATATCATGTGTTTGTGTAAGTTGAAATTTTCACCTTATTTTAATTCTAGTTAGTAAGATTATTCAATTTATTAACACATTAAAATATCTTACATCATTCTCAATACACTATGCTTTTTTTTTTAAATCAACTTAATCTAGTTATAATAAGCAAAGATGGATAGTGACTAGCAGTGGAATCCAGAACGCGCGTTTCGTCCTATTTAGCATGCGTTAGCTGGATAAAACTGAATCTCAGAGTTCATGCTCACTCTGGAACGCGAATTCAGTATCGTTCGCTCCAAACGCCATCACGTTATTCACTTGAGTACTGAGTCCTGATAACCGCTTGTTGTGCGAATGGATAAAACGCGCTTCGTGGATTCCACTGCTAGCTACTATTCATCTTTGCTTATAATGCTTGCGAATTAAGGCTATATCTAGGCAATACACATAGTATGCATATATGTCAATAATAAACTGATTGATTGCAGTCTTAAACATCATTGGGAAGATTCAACTAAACAATACCAAGTGAATTTAATCTATTTGTCATTTTTCAATTAGTAAGCAGTTTTAAAGTAAGCAAGTATAAAATGCATAATTTAATAATCTACATCAGTGTAAACTTATTTGTAAATTATGCAAGTATGATAAAATATAATTCTCGCGAGATTCGAACCTAGGATCTATCAGTATCGCGCACGAGCACTTAACTTCTAGACCACTGAGCCGGTCGGCACCCGACGATGATTTTATGCCTAACTTCAACCAATCCATGAAATTGATCAACCGTCCACCATTTTCCTCAGTGAGTTACTATCTCACAACAAACATGATTGAACTACATTGGTCACTGCTTCGCACTAGAACTCCAGGAATACCTGTTGAAGCCAGTCACTAGTGAACATATGATTATTATCAGAAGGGGTTTTGTGGAGATTTTATTATTTTTATAGTTGAATTCATAATGCGCACTGTTGACGAGTCTCACAATAAGACGGCCTTCCAGTGCTTCGAAGTTTTCCGTGGTGGTCTAGCTTCAATTGACTCATAAATTCAACTATAATATTTATTGATAAAGATTAAATATTTATGTTGAAACTATTTAAGAAGTGTTTAAGGTCAATAATTATTTAATTGTTCGACTGACTGATGAAATTTCTAAGGGAATCTGCAGTAGTCATTTCCGCTGTATATACTACAGTCATATCTATGTACATAAATGAGCATATTTGTCAATGACTATCAATTTAGTATGATTAGTTAGTTATAAGTAGGTGAAATATCTTCATTTGTAGTTTCACCGAATGAACTTTATGTATTTCAGACTACTTTTACATGATAATTTTTAGGTAAAGTTGATTGTCACTACAGAGCAAAAATAGGTTCACACGTAAATCATACATTACATTGGGTTCGTAAGAAAGATAAATTTAAGGACACATATTCATTACTACATTTAGTTACTAATTGAGTAGTTTTTTTACTGTTACGGTACAAAAATAATGATATCTGTTAAGGTCTTTCCTATCATATATCTTTCATTATCTATTTAATATCATTTAAAACTATAAGACACTTTCATGACAGATAAAACACGACGTATGGATTATTCATATGAAAGCATCATCATGTAGCATAACATGTACAAATGTGAACAAAGGAAGAATAAAGATGACGAGCATTATTCAGTTTTTGTTGTTAGCAGCAGTACAGTTTTGAATATATACCAGTGATCAATTTATAAAGATGTTCCATATTTTCGTTTTGAAATAGGAGCTTTAATGTCATTAGGGTATTTGTTAAGTTGAACTAAGTTTGTCAGTAAACATCCGAATAACACTTAAAGTATAGATTACTTTTTCAATATTGTCAACTACATTTATAAATATAGTTTCATAAAAAAGGACAATATCTGACTTTTAAAATGTCCGACTGAATATCCCAAATTGTGTGTAAATTCACTCCTATTAAAAATATGATTGTAAGGTATGAATTTATTAAGACAGTGATATAATTTAATTGTTGAGTTCATGACCACCACTGGACAACCGTATCGTCCTAATATGGGACTCCTCATCAGTGCACATCCACTACCTTGCTCGCGAGATTAGAATCCAAGACCTTCGGTCTAGCATGCTAACGCTTAATCATTAAACCACTGAGTCGAAATTCAACGGTGTTAATGTCTAATTCGACCAATCCACAATGTTATAATTAAAATGAATACCTATGTAAATTGTAATTCTATAGAGTTTTTACCCTATCACTACTTTTTGGCTTACATAAATTCTGAAAAAAAAAACGCTAATTCTAATTAAGATCAATCACGTATCTGTTGATACTAAGAAAGCAAATATTACTCCCTAAACATTCTAATGACCTATGATATTCTATTCGATTTGGCATTTCTCTAAAACTCTACCATTTTATAAATATAATTCCAAATAAACAAATTAACTTAATAATAGTATTTAGTGATTAAAATAAAGAAACCTGACACTAACATAAACTAATCATCCATATTATATAAGTACTTCATAAACAATTCTATATTTTAATAAAGTGAAAATTCTCATTTTGACATTTGATAAATAAAAAGAAACGAATCGAGCGAAGAAATTTCTTTTCAATTAGTTTTACATCATGACAAGTTCATCAACGAATAACAGAACACCATCCGTCGTGGTTGAGCAAAGGACAGTTAAAGGTGATTAAGAGTTCTATTCTCGCTCACTTGGTGGACACAGGTTATCAGGTTGAACTGAATAAAGCTTTTAAGGTTATCTACCATATTCCATCAAATTTGCCACATGGTTTATGAGCTCGCCTAATGCACATAGCTGAAGCCATTGCAATTCATATTCACAAATCGAACCTTTATATCCAAAAGAAGTTTGTATAACCACTCTCGCTACCTTGGCCATCGGTATAGCGGAGTTTGTAAACAATTATCTTATTCCTTCCATTTTTGTAATTTTGTATATTACTTATTCTCTTCATTCGTCTCTTGATTCTCACATAACTACTATACTACTGACCGTTCATCCAAATATTTTGTTAGTTCTTTCTTCTGTTTTTTATATATTATGCAACATAGCAACTGTTTGATTTTCGAACTTTGATTAGTATTAATCCTTCTCTTCCAATTAATGTTAGTTTATAATCGATGTCATTATATAATTATTACGTAACGTATCTACTCCATGAGTGTTATTTAATTATTGTAAATCATTTATATATTAGTGTAGAGCCATGATGAAAAACTAATCGAAAGTAAATTTCTTCGCTCAATTCATTCCTTTTTAATTATATATTTCAAATGTTATACCATATCCTGTTTTGTGAACTATTATAAATCTTATATAGTTGAGATCATGAGTCAATTGGAGCTAGACAACGATGGAAAACCTGGAAGCACTGGATGGCCGTTTCATCCTATTGTGAGACTCCTCAGCAGTGTGCAGCTATCTACCATTCATATAGAGTATGCATTAGATCTTAATCTTAAAAAAGACTTTAAAACTAAATCATACTATTGGTCTAGCATTACATAACACATGTTAGATGATGTAATTAGAATTAGAATTAACAAAGAAATTTAAACAAAACTTATGAGTTCCTGATGAAGAAGAAGAAGAAGAAAGAAAGAAAAGGTTGTTTTATTTTTAGAATTCCCAACATATTGTATGATTATCATATAAGTTGTTATGTAATTATTCCATAATTAGTATGGAGTAATATTAATGTATATTACGAGTTTTTGTCTTGTTTTTTCTTTTGGCATTCTTAGCCAAATTGTACATTTTACTCTTGGCATAGGGATGTTCTTTTATACATAAATAATATGGCTAATAATATAAATATTTGAGTCACATATATGACATATAAGATAAACATAAGTTTGATTTTGGATAGATTGTTTTGTCATTCATGGTAATAAGACATATAGTTGTTATTGTAATCAATGCTAAAATGTAGTTTTATGTCTCCTAGATACTGACTCTAAGTTAACTCTAATTACTACTCTATAATAATAACAGTAAATATTCTTAGCATAAAAATTACTGTTTATCATTGATCAATCTGATAAACTATTTTCTAATTGTTTTTGATATATCTTAAAAACAAAATGTGAAAATTAACCAGTCAAAATACATTAGATGATTTGTCAGGAGAAATATATATTCTAGTTGAAATAATGAGTCGATTGAAGCTAGACAACTATGAAAAACCTGGAAACATTGGACGGCTATATCATCGTAGTATGGGATGGTGGATGCATACTGCTGAGGAGTCCCACAATGGGATGAAACGGCCGTCTAGTGTTTGCAGATTTTCCATAGTTGTCTAGCTTCAATTGAATCATGAATTCAACTATAAAATTACTAAAATCTCTACAAAAAACCCCTTCTGACAATAATTATTTGCTAAAAGTTACTGTAATGAGTAGCATGATACAACTCTCTTCACTACAAACTGATTTTTACCATCATTCATATAAAGTTTCTTTTATTAATAGATAGATACCTTTGTTCAGTCTTTTATAATTTTAAAACATTTTAAAATAAACTTTTTTTACTTCCCTTTGTGGTCTGATAAGTTCGTTCTTACAGTCTGGAAATTATTATAAGTAAATTTACTATAAAGTATTAGTCTATGTATTATAACCCGTGTAATGGCTTCATTAAGTTAGTAAAACTAATCATACTATGGTGTGTGCTACTGATGTCGACAGATACAAGTAGAATGTATCATTAATCAAAAGTGAAATACTTAGCTACAGAAGGTTAGGATTATCAAAAAAAAAGAACGAGAACAAAGAATGATTCATTTGAAAACGAAGGAACAGTCAAGTTTGAGACAATTGACATTTTGCAAATGAACTATTTACTGTATGGTTCTCAGATTTTACTAAGAGATTCTGTAATTTTGCATTCAAATACATTAGACTATCTCCACTTATGTTCTCGTTCACTACAATACTACAGTTATTTGACATATAACATCGTAGACAATTTAATCACTTAAGAT